TCATTTTATTTTAGATGCATGAGTTTTATTTCAGTCTTGTTTGGAGTTTAACTCCTTAAACCCCCTCCTTTGTCCCTAAAAGAAAGGAAAAAAATCCCTTTGGCCTTGTAGCCAAGCAAACAGGCCTCCACCACAGGCACAACATACTGCATCAGCATTTTACTAAACAAGAGAGTAATACTGACATCTCTTGGTCTTTTTCCCATTGTCGAAAAACACAAAATGAGCTTCACAAACCATGAAGAGAACACATAACTACAGGTGTTTATTACCCATTTTTTTAGCATGAGAAATGAAAATATAATCATATAAAATAATTACTTTATGATAATGTAGTTTTACAATTATTGAGAAGAGTCTTAGCAAACATAAGATATGAACTACATCCAAATAAATAAAGACCATGGAAAAAACATAAAACAAATTGTCTATACACCGCGATGGTACTCAAGCAGTAAAGACACATTTACAGCCTGTTCGCTTGGTCGTGTTTGGCTTATAAGCCATGGCTTATCAGCCAACAAACAAGATTTTTCTCTCACACCAAATCGGTCCAATAAGATTTTTGCAAAAGATGGCTTATCGGTAAAACAAGCCCAAACAAATGTATGCTACATGGCTTCAGTTGTTTATCTATCAAATCCATCTTGTTCAAGCAAAGTGGACATTTTTCATTAGTTTGGTCGTTCATTGTGACTCTGCCTTAATAGTTGAAGAAGCAAGATAACTGAAAACAGAAGAAGAGTTACTTACCAGAATATGATACAGTATAAGGATGTACAGTTTCATAACATGATTAATCTAAACAACAGCATCGGAGAGATGTTGCAAAACATAAAGCTCGATTGACATAGGCGCATAACCAGCACCTCGAAACACAAACGACCTATGTCAGTTTAATCAAGGAATATGACAATATAGCTTTTATGACGACTAACTATTAAAGGTACACATAATGAATGCTACTGCCGACGGGCCCCCGCCCGTCAACCTCCTCCCTCCCCATCCCCTTCTTCCTCCTGAAGGAAAACTGTTTCCGTCCCTGTTAAGTAATTTTGTATTAAAATCCCTATGGCAACATCCAAATATGCAAATTAAAACAACCCAACGACAACTTGATGCATAAGACTTAGCATTTCCCATGGACCTATTAAAGATGGAGGCGGTAAGGTTATCACAATATTAAAAATTTGCCATGCTTAGTCAATTCAGTGCAGTTTTATATACAATCATAATAAACAAATGTCAGCAAATCACTATCTGACTCTTGCACCTGAAACTTTAATTTCTAACTCTATCCATATCTTCGTGAAACAAAGGTTTTTGGCAAGTAGTACAAGTTAGCTTTACTCATTTACACAAAACAGAGGCTATTCAATACAGTTGGCCAATTGATTTCATCCGTAGATAAAGATGGACATATATCATTTTCTGAATTATGACAATAGGCAACCTGTTTGAATGGATTAGCTCCTTGGGCTAAACAGCCATAGTCCCTGTCCTCCCAGTTGATTTAGTGATACTCTGTAAAATGCAGATGAATGAATCAAATATTAGTACAACTTTCAAGAGTCTTCAGATTGTAGCATACAAAATTTGTCATCTTTTTTATTCTAGAGTTTGAAATTTACTAATTACAGAATTGTTTTATATGCCTTAAAACTCTTAGCACATTAAATATACAATTATTTCCAGTTGAGAAACCATACCTTTGAAAGGTACCAGTGACATTCAGCATCTCCCAAGTAAGGACCAAACTGATCCTGATATAAAAAGGAACCCACATGGTAAGAAAATAAACCAACCCTGATCTTTAGATTGAAATAGCAAAGCAAGCACAAGCAAACTACCAAGAATTCTCTGAAGTGAACCTACTATCTCGCTTTGTACACCATCAAATCTGATAGATCCAAGCTATGTACACAAACATTTGCAAATTGCAAAAAAAGAAAAAAAATATATGAACATCTGAGGCCTCAAAATACTTACCATGCATTGAGGCATTCCCCTCACCGTCGCTGCTCTTCTGCCGTGCAACACTGCCCTCGTCGTTGCTGCTCTTCTGCCGTGCAGGACTGCCCTCGCCGTCGCCGCCTTGCGCTCCCGCTTCCCGCACCACCGTTGCCACACTCCAGAGCCGCAGTCGCATGCCTCCGGCTCCTGTCCACCGGAAGCCACACATCCCCGCCTTCAGTCAGTTCTTCCATACAATCAAACTTTTAACCCTCAATACCATTTGGGTGGAGCTCGAAGGATTGGCATATGTGCATTCAGTTTTTGCTTAGATTTCCAGTCTAATTTATTCAGTTTTGCAAGGAACTTGTTCATTCTTATAAGCACATTATAGATAAAGCATATGTGCATTCGAGATATTATAGATAAAGCATCTCTGTGCATTTGAGATATTCATCCAAAAGTTCAGAATTCATGATTATAGGTTATATCTACCAAAAAAACATTATCAGAACATAAACTAACATGAGAAAATTTGATCATGACTTTCAATGAGCAAGTTAGTATCACGAACACAAGGACAAGTGACTCAACATTCAGTGCTACGGGAGCATGTTGATACACTAAATATTGGAGTGCAAGAACGAAAGCAAGCTGTAAACATGAGTATCTTTTACTGCAAATAAAGTGCGGACTACCTCCTGCTTCTTCTTGAACTCCTCCCAGGTGATGGTGTGCGTCTTGTTAAGGTGCGTGTTGTTAAGGCTGGCCAGGCGCGGCGCGCCGCATGTCACTCCGGAGAACTAAAAAATCCAAGACTCAAAGAAATGAGGAAAGAAAAGGGAAGCAAAGGGAGCAGAGCGTACGACCTCTTCGGAGATGAAGCAGAGCTCTCCACGGGAGACTCACCGCGGCGGGCGAACTCAAACGCGGCGTGGCTGCACCGGCCATCCGAACCGCCGAGGGCAGGAGTAGGGAGGAGCACGCGTCGCCGCTGAGAGGGCAGAGATGCCGGACGCTGGGAAGACAGAGATGTCGGCCGCGGGGAAGACAGAGATGGCATCACGATACCGCCCGTGGCGTCCTCAACTGCGCACATTTTCTCCATCGTGAGATGGACGCAGCAAACCCTACTGGCCATCTGCTGCTTGCGTCTAGAACAAGAGAATGAACATGTACCCTGCTGAGGCGACGGCGTCACTCCTCGGCTCCCCTCTTGCAGCGCGTGGGAGGAGGTCCGTCGTGGGGATCTCGCGCTCACTCATGGCCGAAGGTGGGCGGAGGATGTCCATGGTGGGTGCGTTGAAACGGGTGCCACGGATCGCAAACAATGGAGGCAGTGGAGTCCCTTTCCTACCCGCGATCGATGGAGGCAATGGAGACGGGTGCCACGGATCGCAAACGACGAAGGCAGTGGGAAAGGGGCAGTGGATACGGGTGCCACAGATTGCGCCGCCGTCGTTGTAGGCGTCATGGGAGGGGAGGGGAGGGGAGGGGAGGCGCTGCGGGGGCCGGGGCGGCAGCGGTGGGGTAGGACGGAGGGGAGCGCGTGATGCGGATGTGAGAATGGCGGCGATGGCGCTCGAGTCGTGTCTTCGTCGTTTTTTTTCCTCGGCCAATTCGGGAGTTGTCGGATGGTATTTGATAAGGGTTAATTCGTTCTGTTCTATTATAATTTTACTAATTTTGAAGCACACCGTTACTATTCGTGAAACTATGCCAGTGTCATTATAATTCTTGTAAAAGCTAAAATATGCCATTATATATGTCTATGACGTCTTTGGGTCCACGTGCAAGTGTATAGGCAATTTTGTATTTTTGTATGAACCAAAATACCCCTCCACTCTACCTCACTTACAGGTGGGCCCAATGTGTCATCCCATTCCTCTCTCCTGTCCTCTACCCTGAGCTTGGTCGAGTGGCCGCGGTGCGCCGGCGAGCGTGGACGCTCCTCTCAGGCGAACGTGGACGATGACAAGCTAACGAACGTGGGCACAATCCATGGCATGGGCACGGCCGCACAGCAAGAGGCCGTATAGCACCAGATGCCGGCCATCTCCTTCCCGACCCCAGATACTAGACACGATGTCCGACGGCACCTAGCCAGGGCGGCGTCGCCCAACCGCCAGATGCCGATGCCGACAATAGCGAGCAGCGGCACCCGACCGGAGGAGACTTCGCCCGCACCATCAGCGTCAATGTGACTGCAATCAAAGCTCCGTGAGCTGGACCTTGCCGGTGAGCTCGTCTCACGCGCGGATCTGACCATTGCCGGGCCAAGGGCCACGAACTCAGCTCACCACGCCAACGGCTGAGACCGAGGGCACCATTGCCGTCACCCAGCCGCACGGGCTTAGCCACCTCCGCCGCCCTCGCTAGCCGCCAGCTCTGCGCAAAGGTCGGCCGAGCTTGCTCCCAGCTGGATTCTTCTCTGGCCGCGCTGCCCGTTGCGCCGACCCCGAGGGCCGCGTCCGTGCCGCTCGGTGCTCGCCGACACGCCAGCCCCGTGCGGCGCGACTAGCCCGACGTGCCCCCGCTTGCTCGCCCGGTGGCGGTGGCTGTGCGCTCGCCGGCTGTGGCGGCAGGGCCCTCGCATGTGGTGGGTATGACCGGAGATGGAGAGGAGTGAGAGAGGGTGGGAGGCTGACTAATGGACCCCATGTGTCAGTGCGTGTGAGAGAGAAGAGGAAGAGGACAATCTTGTCCATATGGATATACGGTGCCGTTTGTACATCTGTCAGTGGGCCCAAATCGTATCCAAATGTATATAATGGGGTATCTCAAATATCTGCAAAGTTCCAATGGCAGTGGCATAGTTTCTTGAATAGTAATGGTGTGTTCCAAAAACAGTAAAATTATAATGACACAGATCTAATTAACCAATTTGATAAAGTCTCAATGCGTGGTGCTCCGCCTGGGTGGCATTTGGAGGGAAGCGAAGGGATCGCAGGGGCGCAGCGGGACGACCCGACCAACGTCGCACCAAAGTCCACTCTTTAGTCTTTTTAGTTATGATAAAATTATGAGATGAGATATGAAATAAGATTTCACCTTTTTTTCCCTAATCCTCCTTGCATCACTTGATATCTAAACTCATCGGTGCACAGTCTCTCATGCCAGCTTGTTACTTGCCAGAGAGCCAAGCCCTCCCCTCTCTTATCACTTCTCTCCTCCACATTAGCATTTGTTTAGTTATAGATCATTATTGTATTTGCTCTCATACAAGTAACAAGCTAGGCACGGAAGCATAGTTATTAGTGGATCCAAGAAAAAAATATATGTAAGGGAGAATAAGAAAATAATATAAGGCTTAAAACTATATAATAAAATAAATAAATAAATGGTAACTATATTAAAGAAATGTGTAACCAAACACTTGGTATTGACTTTTTTGAAACGGTAAATTTCATTCAAAGCTTAAATACAAGCAGCATGTTCGCTTGTTGGTTTCAGCCAGGGCTTATCAGCCAACCAACAATGTTTTTCTCTCACAACAAACCAGCACCGGCCGGACTTATCAGCCCAGAAACCAACCAGCAAACAAGCTCAAGATAAAGATATGGGGCAAAAATTGCCCCATTAAAAGTTTTCCAGAGCCATCTGGATAGTACAATTTGTAGAATGAGTTCAAGACTCGCAAGAGAACAAGCAAGAACTAGGAACTGCAGTCCGCCTTGCTTTCCTTGCGAGATTGTCGGCCACAGAATTTGCATTTGTACCAAATTTAGGGTGTGTTTAGTTCACGAAATGAAAAATTTTGGGTGTCACATCAGATGTTTTGGGGATATCGGAAGGGGTTTTTGGATACTAATAAAAAAACTAATTACATAGCTCGTCTGGAAACTGCGAGACGAATCTATTAAGCCTAATTAGTCCATCATTAGCGCATGTTGGTACTGTAGCACTTATGGCTAATCATGGCCTAATTAGGCTTAAAACATTCGTCTCGCGATTTTCAACCAAACCGTGTAATTAGTTTTTTTTTCGTCTATATTTAATACTCCATACATGTGCCGTAAGATTTGATGTGACACTTTAAGTTGAAAATTTTTGGGAACCAAACAGGGCCTTAACGGTAGAATGTGTCATATTTGCTGTAGAAGCTATAAAGTCCGCAGGTATTGGCCGCAGTGATCAATGACCCGGACTATGGACTTGATCCCTCCTGTTCGCTGCCATCGCCAAAACTTCATTATCTGTAATAAAGACGGGTCTTTGGACATTTATTGCAGCAGCAAGTTTAGCTGCCAGCAACCATGCATAAGCTTCAACCTGAAAAAGTATGCCCTTGTTTAGTTCGCGAAATTTGGAATTTAGGGCTACTGTAGCACCTTCGTTTTTATTTGGCAAATAGTGTTCAAACATGGACTAATTAGGCTCAAAACGTTCGTCTCGCAATTTCCCACGAAACTGTGCAATTAGTTTTTCTTTTCATCTACATTTAATGCTCCATGCACGGGCCGCAAACATTCGATGTGACAATTACTGTAGCAACTTTTTAGAAGTTAAGGTGGAACTAAACAAGGCAAGCATCGCAAAAGATTTTTGGGCCATCAAGAACCTGCATGTTTTGATTTCTATATTGCATACCTTGGGGCCTGTTATTGTTGTCATGCAATGGAAGATGGACAGGAGGGTTACAAGGATAAATCTCTGTTGACAAATTATAAGCCAATTCAATGGCTTTTGCTTCATGCAACACTTTCATATGTGTCCCATTCAATCCTTTGAATCTATGATCATTTTGAGATTTCCATGTACACCACATGATTGAGAAAATTTGGTTTACCGTTGCCTGGTTTGGAGTTTGCTGCATTAAAGTAGTAACCTGAAAATGTACTCCCCGACCTGAGGAAGGAAGTGCATGAGTTCTTAGGCCTACTGGGGACGCAAACCAAACGGCTCTTGCAAAGCTGCACTCAAAAAACAAGTGAGCATCATTTTCTATTAATCCACAGCGTGAACAAGTTTGTTCTATGCTTGGAATTATCCTGTGAATTCGGCTAGCAGTGCCTAGAGCGAGACGCAACAACCGCCAAGCAAAAGTCTTAACTCTAGGTTGCATTGTTTTATCAGCCCACACCTTTCTAAGAATTTGTATAACCTAAGATGGAATATTTGTTGGTGGTGCAGACGTAGCCTCCTCTGTCGCCAACATTTTGTAAGCGCTCTTGGATGTGCAGCGACCATCAGGGGTCAATTTCCAGCAAAGGATGTCTGGTTGATCACCTGCAATTGCTGTAACCCACAGAAGAGTCTCCATAGATTGTGGACCAAACAGAGTTGTAATTTTTTCTGTATCCCAAAGTTTAGTGTTAGGTCGCCATAAATCAGAAACCATGCTAAGGATTTGATAAGCAGTTTGTTCCAAATTTAAGCGATTGTGCAGATCCTTCCGAAAAGTGCACCAAGGTTGATTCCAAATACAAGTGTCCCTGTTTATAAACTGAATTGTGACATTTTCCTCTAAATGGTTTCTGATAGCAAGAATTAAGGCCAAAAAGGTAGATTTAGGAGTGTAAGTTGCAGCAGTCCAAAACGAGGCAGTTGGGTAGTACTTCGCTTTGATAATTTTAGCTACCACCAAATCAGGTTTATGAACAAAACGCCAAGCTCGAGGTTTATGAGCTCGAGGTCCAAAACAAGTGCAACAGTGACTTCCGAATATATTTCGGGGCTCGAGTAAGGATTAGAGCACGTTTTTTTTATTTTTTGAACTGAGCCTCCATATATATTTAGCTATGGGATTCAGTTAGAGTCCCACTGCAGTTGTTATGATACAGTTTTTGGTGATAGCTCGAAACTTTTTTTTTGTCAGTGAAACCTCTACTGCTTCTTCAAGCTGCCCTGCGATTCTGCAAGCTACTACTGCTGCTGAGTTGTGACTTATCTTCCGACGTGGAGGTCTGGAGCCAACATCCAGCGTGGCGCGTTGGGGACGCCCTTAGAAGCATAATAACCTGGGTCTTCTCTGCACTCGACGTGGTGACTAGCGATTCGACGGCCCTCGAGGACGCTGTCCAATGCTCTTGCACGGGAACGGGAGTAGTACTAGTACATGTTTCATCTGAATAATTGGTCAACCAAACTAGCCACAGCGGCACAACCTCAGCTCGGAGCTCCAGCAGATTCCCCCCATGGCAGCGGCGCGAGGCGAGGGGTGGCTCGTCGACGACCTGCGGGACTTCCTGGACGACTTCACCTTCAGGGCCAAGCGACTGGCCGCGCCGCTGCTGCACAAGTTCGGGCCCTCCTCCGAGCCGGGCGCGGTCGACGACGCCGAGCTCGACAAGCTCAGGTCCAGGCTCCGGCGCATCCGCGCCACGCTCCGGGCCGCCGAGGACCGGGTGGTGGCTGACGAATTCGTCGCACTCGGGCTCCGGGAGCTCCGGGACCTGGAGCACGCGGCCGAGGACGTGCTCGAGGAACTCGAGTTCGAGGCGCTCCGCGCGGCTCGCCTCGAGGAGTTCAAGGCCCATCTGCTCCGCACCAGCGCCAGCGCCGGCGGCAAGCGGAAGCGCGAGCTCAGCCTGATGTACTCCTCCTCCCCCGACCGCCTCAGCCGCAAGATCGCCAAGATCATGGAGCGGTACAACGAGATCGCGAGGGATAGGGAAGCGCTCCGGCTGAGGAGCGGCGATGGGGAGAGGCGGCACGAGGTCAGCCCCATGACGCCCACTAGCGGCTTGATGAAATGCCGGCTTCACGGAAGGGAGCGGGACAGGAGGCAGGTCGTTGAGCTGCTGTTATCTGGCGAAGCTAATTGCTATGATGTCTATTCTGTTGTTCCTATCGTTGGGCCGGCCGGTGTTGGCAAGACTAGTTTAGCACAGCACATCTACAATGACTAAGCCATCAGCTCAAACTTTGACATTAAGATGTGGGTATGGGTGTGCCAAGAGTTCAATGTCTTGGAGCTTACAAGGAAACTCACCGAAGAGGCCACGGAGTCCCCTTGTGACTTCGCCGACATGAACCAGATGCATCGTGCCATCACTAATCAGCTGAATGGGAAGCGATTCTTGCTTGTTCTTGATGATGTGTGGGATGAAAGCTGAGACCGCTGGGCGAGCTTGCAGGTGCCTCTGAAATGTGCTGCTCCTGGGAGCAAAATTATAGCGACCACTAGAAGCACTAAAGTTGCCAAGATGATGGCTTTGAAGATACACCAATTGGGGTACCTGTCTGATACCAGCTGCTGGTCTGTCTGCCAAGATGCTGCCTTGCGAGGCCGTGATCCCAGTATTATCGATGACAGCCTTATCCCCATTGGTAAATTGGTTGCAGCAAGGTGCAAAGGCTTGCCGATGGCTGCAAATGCAGTTGGTCATGTTTTATCCAGTGCAATTGATAGGAATCATTGGGAGGCTGTTGAGCAGAGCGATTTTTGGAACAGTGAAGTGGTTGGGCAGACCCTTCCTGCTCTTCTTGTGAGCTACAGTAGCCTGCATAAGCACTTGAAACACTGTTTTTCGTATTGCTCGCTATTTCCAAAAGAGTATTTGTTAATTTGTTTAGAAAAGACAAGCTGGTCCGTCTATGGTTGGCGCAAGGCTTTATTGAAGCAGACAAAGAACGTCATGCTGAAGATGTTGTGTGCAAGTATTTTGATGACCTCGTGGAGAATTTCTTTCTTCTGAGGTCACCATACAATGATGAGAGGTAAACATTGTTCATTTTAGAAATTTCATCAATGATTCTTGAAGTGCCAAGCATTAAGTTGAGAATCTGGTTCTGAACACAAAATCAAGTTAGTGGCAATCCATTCTCTTAACTGTGACAATCAATTTCAGTATTAATAGCTTGCCTTTTGCTAATCATAGCTGTTACGTGATAGTCGTCGCTATCGTAAATTGTAATAGTCATCTTACATATGATTCAAAGCTGAACTAAGTTGTGCATGAACTCAACTGTTGGTGATGGTGCGTACTTTTGTTGTACATCGTACTAGTGCCCATACATCAATGTCTACATCCAATGTATCTACCCGGTGTTTAGGTTGCATGTTAATGTGCGATACATATCAGAAACTGAATAATGAAGGTGGCGGAGCGACTTTCAAATGGATGAAATGCCACTTAATAAAAGTTGGGAGTAGAGTGTTGCAAAAAAAAAAAGATTAAAGAGTTAAAACACATCATTGATGTATTGCTAGCAAATCTTGATACATTACATATTAAATGTGTAAACCCCAAATATTAATGAATATACTATTAGCGTCAACATGATTACACAACCAAGAACACTGGCGTTATTTTATCTTCCATTCATATATTTTTACGTAAGGTTCACATGTTATAATAGGATAATATGTTGATGTTTCCTCAGTGTGAATGCATCTTGACTTTTGATTACTTCTACTGGCTGTCATGGAAGTAGGGAGTTATATGCAATTACCATGCCTTGCCTTGTGAACTTTGTGTAGTTTCTAATGTTGTTTCTTCAGTGATTCTAAGAGAACAATGCAGCTGCTATTGGCTTTCTTCCAGATTTTGGTTGTCTCCAATCCAATAACATAGTAAACATTTTGGTTTGCTTGTTAAATCCTGTGATTTTTACTGATTTGTGACTCCCATTATTTAACTAAATTAATGGCATTAGAATATCACCAACCTCAGTAATGCATATTGAATTTTTTTTGGCTCATTTTTGGTGATGACAACTATTTGTAACAATATTACGTGTGTGTTTATGTTGTTCTGAGATAATTTATAGAACTACAATATTTTTTCTTCTAACAGGTTTGTCATGCATGACCTCTATCATGAGCTTGTTGAATATGTATCAGCCAAAGAATATTCCAGGATAGAGAAATCTACATTCAGCAATGTAGAAGAAGATGCTAGACACTTATCCTTAGCTCCAAGTGAGGACCACTCGAATGAAATTGTGCAATTCTATGCACTCCATAACCAATATCTGAAAGAATCTCTTACCCCTGGCCTGCGAACATTATTGATTGTTCAAAAGGATGATTTCAAGAGAGAAGGAAATACTTTGTACATAAACTTCCCAAGTGGCCTGTTCAGGCTTCTCGGGTCTTTGAGGGCTCTCGACTTGAGTAATACCAACATAGAGCACCTGCCACACTCTGTTGGTGAATTGATACACCTTAGGTACCTCAGTCTTGAAAATACCAAAATCAAATGCCTACCAGAGTCAATAAGCGCACTCTTCAAGTTGCATTCGTTGAGTCTCAAATGCTGCAATAGCCTTGGTGATTTACCTCAGGGGATCAAATTCCTCACTAATCTAAGGCATCTGGAACTGCCATCCATGGATAACTGGAATATGTGCATGCCATGTGGGATTGGTGAATTAACAAACCTACAGACAATGCATGTGATCAAGGTCGGAAGTGATTCAGGCAGCTGTGGGATTTGTGACTTGGTTAACTTGAATAAACTTAAGGGAGAGCTATGCATCTCAGGAATAGAAAATATCACAAGTGCACAAATTACTCCTGAAGCTAGCATGAAGAACAAAGTTGAATTGCGCAAATTGATTCTCCACTGGTCTTGCGTCGACTCCATGTTTTCTGATGATGCATCCTCTGTTTTGGATAGTCTTCAACCTCACTCTGATCTAGAGGAATTGACTATCACGGGCTTTTGTGGTGTCAGATTTCCTTTATGGCTGGGGAATGAGTATATGTTTAGCTTGTCCATTTTACAACTAAAGATTGCCTGAACTGTAAAGAACTGCCCTCTCTTGGTCGGTTACCTTGTCTCAAAACATCTTTCAATCAATTCGCTCACCAGCATAAAGCATGTGAGACGAATGCTTCCTGGCCATGACGAGACTAACTGTGGTGATTGTAGATCCAGCACCAGCAGAGCCTTTCCTACATTGGAGACACTGAAGTTCATGAACATGGATTCCTGGGAGCTATGGGATGAGATTGAGGCCACAGACTTCCATTGTCTTCAGCATCTCACCATCATGAGATGTAGCAAACTGAACCGGCTGCCCAAGCCCCATGCACTGCAAAATCTCCGTATAAAGAATTGTGAGAATCTACTCAACTTGCCAAGTTTCCCATCCCTCCAATGTATTAAAATTGAGGGTTGCTGGTGTGTTAGTCAAATAATGCAGCTCCGAATATTTTCTCATATTGAGACATTAGAACTCCGTTGTCACAAGAAACTTGTATCAATGAAAAAGATCCCGAATCCAATCCTTCACAGTTTTAGATTGAAGCAGGAAGGGCAGCTACATAAGTTTTCAGGGTGTCAAGTATTGCCTTTTCAGAATTTGTCTGTTCAAGATAGTCAGGTACATGTGACCACTAAATTACATATACCAAATATAATTGTCATTTGATGTAACAGATTCTGAAACATCCATGCTCGCTATGTATTTTAGACAACTTGGATATTTTTAAGGTGTGTGGGACGAACACATGAATGTAATTGCAATTTTGTTGCATTTACGGATCTTACATCTGGACAAACTGATGTACATCATTCTGAAGGTAGCACCATCCACAGATACTTGTTCCTTTGTGGGCTCTTTTTCATTTTCGGCATGCATATGCATTAATGACATCGAATTTGCCTATTCTTTAATAGGAAGAATATATTTGGCACCTAGTATTGTTTATGTCAACTCAGGACATTTAACAGAGCTTGCTTTCATTTGTGTTTATCAATTTCAGGTGAGACCTGTAAAGATGTATCATTCCATGCTGGACAACCTGAAGACATTGAGCTTTTATCCTGTAAACCAGTTTGGGTTCAAATGGATCAGCCAGAAGAGATTGAGCTTATTTGCATAGACTGATAATGAGATCGGCGTGATGGACAAACCAGGATCCTCAGGTGGTGAACTGGTGAGATCCGGATAATGCAGCTCAGACCAGTAACCAACGCTTAAGTTTTTCAATCTAAGACACGAATTCTGGTTAGCTGATGTTGTATGGCAAGTAAAATCAACCAAAGTCAACTGGTGTCAGTGGTTGCTCCATCCAGTATTTATCTTTTGGTAACTGTATGTACACTCTGATATTTCAGCAATACACATACATATATATACCTGGATGGCTGGATCAACCAAAGCCGGCTGGTGTCAGGGTTGCCCCATGCGGTACTTCTCTTCTGGTAACTGTATGTACACTCAGATATTTTGATGATACACATACATTACCTGGTATGTTCCTGTTATTATGTGCATTCTGATATTCAGCGTACAAAAATGTATCTTGTGATGAAGAGAAATTTACATTCAAACAATCTGTATTCAAAACTGGCATAGCATTGCACAAAATGAAAAAAGAAAAAGATGATTTATCATTTGACTGCATGTATAAGATGTTGGTCAAGAGCATATCATGGAGTTCCAGTCTAATATTTAACGAAACCAAACCAACCAATATGGGATGTTCACCGCATAAGTATCTGCCCCAACATAGTACTCTGTCCATCACAACATCACAACATGGCTACATACAGTAATGAATATTAAAGCAGCATGAACTAACATATCCGAGCTTAATTCATAATACTCCATTCCAAATTGTAAATCGTTATAGCTTTTCTAAATACATAGCTATGTATCTAGACATAGCTAGACATGTAGTAAAAGTTATGCATCTAGGAAAGCCAAATCGACTCAGAATTTCGAGTGGAGGGAGTAGTGCATACATACATCTTTGAATCTTCCTGAATTCAGAACATAGGAGGGACTTCACATCTCGTCTTTTTCGCATTGATCACCAGTGGCGCTTATTGCTTCTGTTACCAACCACCGCACGCCGTCTTGATCTAGAGTGGCAAAAGTGAGCCTCGCTGCCGTGCTGCCCCCGCTCACAGACGCTAAATTTCCAGTTCTTGCGCCGCACGGTTGATCTTTTGGAGACCGGACTCGATAGGCACACTAACACACTCTTCGTCGAGCAGTTCCTGCGTCAAGAACCGTTTCTACCGTTCGTGCCATACGATGGCCTCCCCACAGTGGGTTTTGCAGCCCACAGCCACCGGCACAGTGCGTCCTGCCACTTGCCGAACAACTCCTCTTCCAGGAGCTGCGCCATGTCCTGCACCGACACCACGGACGCCCACCTCATTACCCGGCGAACCCGCCGTCGTCATGCTTCGGCGGCGTTACACGCAGTGCCCTCAGGCCGTGCCTCAGGTACGGCACGACGTGCCGGCCGACGAACTCCTCCCAAGCCTCCGACAAACGCTTCCTTCCACGGCAACACCATGTCGTAGTCAGCTAAGGCACGCGCCGTGTGCCATCCCAGCAGCGCCTTCCCGAGCTTGTGCCGCACCGTCACGTACAGCGGCTCGAGCCAGCGCCCGAGGAGCGGGATCCACCGCTGCACCCAGACGTGACACGGCTCGGGCTCCCACCGCGGCTCCCACAACTCCATGGCGGCCGACAGCTTCGGCATGACCACCTGCTCCAGGAGGCGCTGGATGCGGGGAGCGGCAACGCGTCGCCCCACGTCTCCAGGAACCGGATCATCGGTTCCGGGTCCTTGGCCTCCCACGTCTCGGCCGCCGATGCCAGCGCGGGTCCCACCACCACGTCGTCGACCAGCGCGCCGTACGGCGAGACGGCCGACCCGTCGTCCAAGAGCATGTCTTTGAGCGTGGTCACCGTCTCCAGCCCGCGCGACGGGTCCTCCAGCGGTTCCCACCGCTGGAACACCGCGCGCAGCAGCGGCGCCACGATCGCGCGAGCCGTGTCCGCGAGGCGGTACGTCGTGTACTCCCGGGGACACTTCTCCTTCAAGGCCGCGAACTTACGGATCAGCTCGCCCGTCGTGAGCGTCCCCGACGCGCTCTGCTCCTGCACCCACTTCATGGCCTTGGTGATCGCGGCCGCCGGCATCTCGTCCCCGGATCTCAGGTCTCCTAGCAGGCCACTCGACGTCGACGACCACCGTGCCGCACGCGCGAGTGCCTTCTGCACACGCACGACGGCCTCGGCGGCGCTCTCCTCCAGACGTCTGGCTAGGATCTTGTCGTCGACGACGTCCCGATCGCGCTTCCGTTTCCTTGCTCCTCCGGCTTCGTCCCACTTGGACCAGTTTTCGTCACTGGGTGGCGGAAGCCCGTCCGCTCCACCGATGATGGATCTCTCGACGCTGCCGAGGCCGGCATTCTTGGGACGGAGGGCCACCTCGATGGGAGCGATGATCCCCTGTCCGTGCCTCCCGAGGCCGCTGCCTTCCTTGTAGTTCATGCGCTTCATCATCTGCGCCACCACCGCGTTGGACGCAAGGCTCCCCGGCTCCGGCGGCGGCGACGTGGCCTGCCGAGCCGGATCCACAGACGAGGACGATGCGAGATTACGAGAATCCCCATGCTCATCGGACGACGAGACGGCCGCCGAGACAAAATGGACAGGTTTGGGGAGATCACCTGCTCCGTGTCGGCGTTTCTGCGGCGGACGCGCGCCGGAGGGACGATGACCATCCTCGCCACGGTGGGCAGACGCGGAGTTTCGGCCCGCTCCCCACTGTGCCCAAGCTGACCTCAGGTTATCGCTGGCGTAGCCGCGCTCATCAGCCTCCCGGCGGTTGATCGCGTAGCGCCAGTCGTCGGCGGCCATGACGCACACGCCGTGGCCTTCGGGGATGTATCTGAGATCTGACGCGAGAATGCGAGATGCGAAGTGGGTTTTGGGTAGCCCGGCCGGCGGTGGTGGCTGCGGCGGCGGTTACTTGTGGCACATTTTTTTTCCGCACCGAACGTCGTCGCCGGTGCCTGCGGCCGTAATATCGTGGCTCGTCGGCGTGGAACGCGTGCCCGAGTCCGAGTAGAGAATAGGGATGAATATGGAAACCTTTTACGAGAGTCCCGCTGTAAGCAATCGGTCGGTGAGTAGTGGCGTTCCTTATATATCTCGATCGTACTAGGTCCGACTACTTATCGCATCGCATGGCGACTGCCCAGATATAATTTGTCACGCTCGATCGCCCACAATTACTTTTTTTAAAGAAAGGGACTGTATTCATTAAATTAAAACTCCTTTTACAACTGAGACCTCAACATAAAATAAACTACATTGAAGCACACCATTAGGTCCCTATACTTCATTTTCCTCGCGTCCGGCGGCGTACACCCCTTCAGAAAAGCTCCATCGCGACCATGGAAGTACACCAGATCTAGACCCGAGAACCACAGTCCCTACCAACACAAGACTCCACGAACATGGAGACCGCAAAAGAGGCATGGTAAGCTCAACCACTATGGGGAGTAAAGGGCGTCGAGAGCACATCGGCCTTATCTTCTGAAGGTTGAACCGAACATAAGACCCGACGCCGCTAGCATCACCACCAGCAACTAGAAGGACAGATCTGTTGCCGCCAGTAGCATCACCGGCGGCCGGAAAGACGATCCCGTAGAAGGGGAAAAATAGATCCAATCCCTCCTCGAGAAGGACTATGCCAACATACCTCGATCTCTTCAGGAAGAGCATGTCATCACCGAAGATGACGACGCATCCACCAGTGATCCGGTATGAAACAGAAAGCCGGATCGAAAACATCGAAACGGCCAGCCAAAACCTAGCCCAAATTATGATGGAGGAAAGGAAAATAAAAGGAGAAAAAACTAAGAAAACAGTAGATCTGCTAAAAGGACGGACCCCCGCTCCTCCTCACCACCGGCAGGGAGGCCGGAGGTGAGGGGAACGGGGGCCGAAGGCGGCGGCGGCGGTGGAGTCGCCCCTAGGAGAGGGGGTGGACGGGGGCTGAAGCGGTCTTTCCGTGGCCTTTTCCGGTGCACGAGTTCAATCGCCCACAATTTTTTTGGCCTGTACAATTTAACTTCAAGCGTTGCTGTTTTTTTTGTATGATTTATTTTATCACGGTAATAGACGGGATAGTTTGTGTTCACCAAATTGCTAATTGCAATATCATCTACTATAACTCTCTCCTATCATAAATTAGCGATATTTTAAAGTTGGGTGAACTCAATGGTTCCATACTCCGACTTTTAGGAATCAATAACAATTGAATAATACATAATTATTGTTGCATGCATGTTCACCTAAAGCATTTCTTACCCAGAGGGGGATATCAGTATTTGAATCAACGGCTGTTGTCTAATTATTGAAATAGAAACACTCACTTTCAAATGCTATTGCCATTCTCCACTCCGGTCTGTAGTAACGTACTTGGCGCACTGGTTCAATTTATGACAAATTAAAGGAGAGGGAGGGCACTCTAACCAGGCTATATTTTCACTGCTTCATGGATTTTCGTTATTGGGTCTCACCCTGGAAGAGATTTTCTGCATCAGCGATCATCGTGGGAATACATCTAACGGGGTGTTTGATTGAAGGAATAGCATAGGAAATTTGTAGGTAAAAAAATGGAGGAAAGGAAACAGATTTGAGCGTTTTGATTGGAGGAATCGCGGCACCCCTTTCCTCTGGAATACTGTAGCTAGCAAGCCATTTCACGGCAAAGAAACAATCCAATCTGATCCATGGTTTTGGTTTCCTTCGCAAAGCCCGAGGCAGCGTGTGTGAGGACGAGGAAAAAAAGAGCAGTTAAGAGTAATTAGTACCCATATTTATCTAACATGTTACAATTCTTATGTTTATAAACTCCTGTGTTCCAAACAGCCTAAATTTTCTGTTCCTGTGTTTTGAAATCCCGTAGTTTTTCACTTTTCATCGTACCCTATTCCTGTGTTTTTTTCTATTCCTGTGTTTTGGATTTCTTCGTTTAAACAGGCCCTACATAGATTAGGCAGCACCGAAGAAACTCTTCAATTAAGCTTTAGTTCGTACTTCCCATCCTTCCGGGTACTTCAAAAGTATGTTCATCGGTAAGGACCGGAGTGGAGCTAAAGGATTGCTAGAAAGCTGGAATCCCAAGTGGAATGGAACGGGCGGCCGGTAAGTCTATTTGATAACCTTCGTATGCGTTAGCTAGTTCAAATACAAATCTCTCATTCCTAGCTTTTGTTGCAAACGTTTATCTAATGTACTCTAAAGCTATAATCCACGTAACAAGATTTCTTTGAAGAACTTCTGAAGTGCTGTTTGTATATATTTGAGACAAGAAAGAGAAGTAGGCCAACTTTCACTAAACACTCCTTATTTTATCTTCTAGGAAGTTTATTTCGTTCTAATATATCTATAAAGTGTAGAACTATTTTCAAATCTAGTATAGCTACTTCCAGACATTCAAACTCAACACATAAAAAACAATTCATGCATAGTCAGGGGTTTGGAATAGTTAACTTTAGATAACCCAAAGCGTCATTTATATGTAACTGGATGGAGTAAACAACATCATGCTATAGAACAATCACATGTTATATGTGGAGATACCAAAGGTAAGGTAAACTCCCAATATGTATCTCAAAGAGCCTTTCTAAAATCTAATCTCTAAATCATTATTTGGAGAGTCATTTGAGTAAAAATTATTTTCTATATCTCTATGTTCTCAAACAACTTTTCTATATCTTGTGCGTAGTCTAGAGAGTCATCCTCGCTCTCCATTTTTAGCTGCTAGCGAGAAATGCGGAATAGATGTTATCTATATTTTGATATCCATTTGAAGATGTTGTTGGAGGGTATTTTTTAACCAAAATCTTTATTCTTGTAAATTAGAAAAGATACAAAATCTTTATTCTTGTAAATTGGTTGTGTGCCTGTGTTCCTAAAAAATTGCAAAACGGCCCTTTTTGACTTCTGAAACCTACAGTTGGGTATAGTAGGGTGCAGGGAGCTAGGGATTGCTCTGTAGCAACTTAGTGATTGAAGTTTGCTCAATAATAAAGTTGCCACCATACCCTTTGCTTCTTTTTAGTGGAACAACATTTAATCTAGCTCCGATACAAGTAGGAATTTATTCTCATGAATAAATAAAAAATGAATAAGGAACCTCTTTGTATGGTGTTTTTTTTTAGTTCTAGCGACATGTTCTTCATATTACTCCGTAGACTAATCCATATATAGTCTCAAAAGAAAGGAAATGAGGAAAATTGCAACTTAAATTTTTAGCAATTGGCAAGCGGTTTATTGCTCTTTTTGTTCACGTTTTAACACTTTATGTACAAAATGCAAGGAAAAACTCAAGAGGAAGGTTGACCTTTCTTTGGTTAGTATAAAACATTTAGTTATTTAGTATAAAATGCTAATTTTTGAAACTTTTGACAATTAATGAAGATGTGCCTTTGCAACAACTCCTTAGGAACATGTATCTGAAGGACAAAACTATAGGACGTGTACAATAGAAAGCAGAAGTTTCATGCTTTTGCTCTAGGACAAAACTATATGAGCCATGAAAGAATGCTTAGAGCTGTGTCGGTCATGATAAAACGATGGCCCTGCCCTTTTGGGAAGATAAGTAGATTGGATCTCTATCTTTAAAAGTTTAGTGTCCATCTTTAATTTATTTAATACTTCCACCTTCGTTTTTACATGGCGTATTACCATTGTCTTAAGTCAAACACTTCATCTGACTATCAATTTCAAATAATCCATGTAGTTTAACAATATGTGAATGATATGTTATGAAAATATTTCTCATAGTGAATCTAAACACATAAATATTATGTTATCAACTTATTCAAAGATATAACGGTTTGACTTAGGACAAAGCTGAAAAAATGGAGGGAATACTGTAAGAGAACCACGTGCAATAGTACAACATGTGATCAGTACCACTCCATTTGTATCCTTAGATAGGGGCAATGACGGGAATTGATCAAACGTACTCCCTCAATTCCAAATTATAAGTCGCTTTGACATTTTGTCTAGATACATAGCAAAATAGATGAACCAAAAAAATCAAAGCGACTTATAATTTAGAACGGAGGAAGTATCAAATAACATTTCATTGGTTGGGGCAAAATTACACTCTTATATGCAAGTTATTTTAGAGGAACATATTAATTGGACATGGTTCTAAGCATTACTCACGACTACATAATCCTTTTTTTTTAGAGTCATCAGTCAAGAATGGTTTTTAGAGGTGGAAGAATAGCCTCTATTCAAGTGTCTCTATTTCTAGAGGCACATCAATGTTGGACCACCTCTATAAATCAATTTCTAGAAATGGTTGGCAACTTGGCCTGCAAGTGTCTTTGGATTTAACCCTGGAGTAAAAGTGCCTCACATGTAGCCTGCCGGAGAGCTGCCTGCACCTTATTTGGTTGCAACCCCGGTGACCTGCCTGTCCCAGGCATCACTGGCCAGGCTCAGGCGCATGAAAATGGTCGCCTGGCTGCCGCTGCTTCCCTACCTGCATTAATTAATTGCATATAATGAAATCGATTTCTTATGATGGTCGGCAATGGGCTCCTATTGAACTATGGATTTCTTTTTAGTTAGCTATCAAAGTATCCGTGACCAATTAAGATATAATGAAAAAAAATCATCATAAGAATATTAATGGTACTTATTTTTTATCAAATTGTGTAAATAGTTTTATGTTAAATATATGTACAAGAGTCATTTAGTTAGATTTATTTTAATCTTACTAACTGAAAAGATAAGGTAATCTATACCATACGTTTAGTGAGTCACAATGGTATACTAATGGTATGTACTAAAAATTAAAATATTGTATCGATACCATGCACATATTC